TCCACAACTCCTGTGAGACCACAGTAAAAAAAACACAACCTCCGACCCACCAGAAACCATAAATTGGACTCGATTTCACATTTCATTTCATCAATATGTGTTTGCTGTCTTGACAGCTGGCAGAAAAAACAACAACTAGCCGTAAAATTAACTTCTGGCGTCGACCTCCGGACAGATGCTCCATGGTCATGTTTGGCAGGAGTTTTATCAGCTGGGAATCAGTCAAATTATCTGTTTTAAACTCTAAACACAGTTAATCAAAAAGCTGTTGACAAACAACAGTTTGTCCTCGGCCAGAGACACTAAGAGGGATCCTGTTACCCTAATTAAGTCTCTAGTGCTGTCTGTTTGTTTTACATTCAGTCTTAAAGTCTTCCAGACAGGTTACTGTTTACTGGGAGGTATCTGACCCAGTATTTGGGTTAAATACTACCAGGGACTGCACGTCTATCATCCCAAAGTTTAGGCAAAAGACCAAACTGACCTTTGGATGTCCCAAAATCAAAGCTAAAGACAGAGGCCCTTGATGTTGCAAATTCCAGACCACAAGGACAGAGCCTTTGCTATCCTACAGCAGCAGTTCTCAAACCTTTTTCATTAATGCCCAACCCATTTTGGGCAAAAGATGTGAAACACTTCAAATGTTTATAATCCATCACTAAACGTACAATTTAGTGAGAAATATCAACTTCACAGAGAATATTCTGTCATTGTTTGTGGCTGGCAACTCTGGTGAAATGTGGTTTATCAAACTGACATTTACATTTTCTATTTAACTAATTATAAATATTATAAGTATTTTAGGAATTATGCATGACTGATTTATTATTATTAACTTTTAAAAAACGTTCTCAAGTACTCCCTGCAGTACTTCAAATTACCCACTGTCCTGTAGCAAAGTCTAAAAACCAGGATGGACTGAGCTGTAGTTTTCCAAGAGTTCAGGCTAAAGACTATGGAGGACTGAAACTTAGTGATTCAAGAGTGGACGAGTGGAAGAGTGGAAGTCCTGGATTGCGTTGCACCCGCTACGTCTAAATTCTCCCCTAAGTTATGGTGTAATATCGACACTAAAGGCTCAGTTACTACTAGTTAGTTTGTAACTATATCAGCTACTACATTCGGTCGCACCACGGTTACTTTGGGCATAACTTAACAAGTTGGACGTAAAGTCCAAGGCAAGTGGAAAATCAACGATCAAAATAAAGTGTTATCATCATGGTTACCGTTAACATTAGCTTTCTCTGTAGCTAACAGGGCAGCTCATCAGGTAGAACTGGTGCCTTGTGTGAGGCTGAGTCCTGGCTGCAGCGACCATGGGTTCTGCCTGCATATATTTATCATAGATGGATCGATCCAGCTGCTCTAGAATCCAGATTAAAGACAATGGGGATGTGAGCCTTAGTTGCCCCAGACATTACATTTATTGTGTTACTGTGGAATGAATCTGCTGGAGACTTCAGTTTATGTTGGTTTAAACAAGAGGTTTTATTCAGTAAAAACAAGTTATCATATTTATCTTTGGCACTTCTGTTATAATCAACAGTCCAATTTTACAAACTGAAACAAACTTTAATTGCAGCTCTGCCTGAACAACAAACATATCAATATTTATTCTTTTAATTTAAAAACGGCCTATATTTCTTTTTTGAAAGACCATCTAAGACAAAATTTTCACTTTGGTTTCAATGGATATTTTAGTATCTTGGGTGTAACTGCTGTTGTGTTATTCTTCTATAATCCTGTGTGAATCAATATCACAGTAAACTGGGGTTGTAATTCTTTATTTTCAATTATTAATTTGCTGCATCACGCTTTTTTCTTCTAATTTTAATCACTACGGAGGCTTCGGTGTAAATAATTCCTTGCAGCATCAAATGCAGCTCAGCTTCTTGGCTGCTTTGTTTTTATGAATGTTAACGGATCTGGTCAGTAAATATGACCGAAATACAGACTTTTCTTTTTGTTGCATGAAACATGGAGAGTAAAGGCCTAATAAAGTATTTTTATTTATAAAGTTGTAGCGGGGTAAAAGCTTATAGCCTTACTGAAAAAGATCAAGAAATTAAAATAAAATAAGAAAAATAAAGTTTAAACAAATCCAGTCAGACGGGAACAAACAGCTCCTTTAGGTCTCTGCCCATAAACATCAAATCCCATTAAAACCAGTAGCAGATAAGCTAAACCAGCAGCCAGAAAGCCCTCACAGCCCCGTCCGCCTGCTTCAAAACCAAACGCACCCAGACCAGAGGGAGGAAGAGGCAGCGAGAAAAACAAAACAAAAACCAAACACCCCGAGAAAGACAGAGCGCAGAGAGCCAAGAGGAATGAAAGCAAATAAAGACGTCCTCCACTCTGTGCTGAAACCGGCCTACGGACGGGACGGAGGGACTGCTGGTTCAAACAAGGCCTGCAACGACAGAAACACACACATTAACACTGACACACTGCTAGATTAAAGTACAACACACACACACACACATTAACATTGACACACTGCTAGCTTTTGCTAGCCGCTATTGTTACATATTGTTTACTGTGAAAATACATTGCTGTAAATTTACAGTTAATAAATGTGATTATTACAAAATCATAGTGTAATTTCACATTAAATTACTGTATTGTAGTTACTGTACAAACAACAAATTACTGTGATTTTTATTTATAATACTATAAAATAATTACTGTATACTAATGTGAATTTACTGCAATTAGCCAGTAATTTACTCTAAGTACAATAATATTTTACAGAACAATGCACGCAAACCTGGCAACCTACCAGGACGCAGCAGACGAGCAGAGGCAAACACACAACGCAGCTATCAGAGAGAGTCCTAGTCCACGTTTGGATTCAAGGATTATGTTGTTTATAACGTTAATAACAACAGCGACAACGTCCAACTTTATCTGTCACTACAAAACCTACAAAGAAAGGTACGTGAATGTGTCTCATTAGCTAACTTAGAAAGCTAGCTAACAGCTGTGTGCTTGTTACAGGTGTAACCCAACATTCATTAAACCCGCTTCTCTGCTGTTTGAAGCGCCTAACCCTAACCCAATAAAGGCAGGTCTCCATTAGAGGCCCGTCCCCATTAAAGGCAGGTCTCCATTAGAGGCCCGTCCCCAATAAAGGCAGGGACAGTTCAGTGACTGAAGCAAATAAAAGCCCGGGCTGTTATTAGGAGTTTTACGGTATCTGTGTTTGTGTGTGTGTGTTAGCTGAGGTGTAAAACCAGCAAACAGCTGAGCCGTGCTAACATCTCTGAATGATAACCCGGAGAGTACGACGCCTCGTCTGACTGAAGTGCCTTTGAGCAACACACTCAACAAACACACCCAACACACATTCAGCATTAGACTGCGAGTTTCTTTGGAGGAACTCGTGTGGAAGAGAGCGTTAAGGAGGCGCTGTCACAACTGATTAACGCTCTAATGAATCAGGTGATTTGAACTAAACACAGATACAAACTGCTCATACTAATGAACAACTGAACACAGTTAACACCTCCAATGTATTCTTCACTCAGGTTGGGTTTTTACTTTTGACAGTCAACAAAATAAAATCAGCTCATGTTTACAGGATCTGTCAAAATTGTTCATACAGTCGTCATCTTTCAAAAAGATTTAGTCATTTCCTCAAACTGCTGCTCTCTCCAGTTTTTAATGGAGGAAATTTGTTGGGGGGCTATTTTCAGTGGCTGAGGGAATCCACATTTGGTGCTGTAGTG